GGTCAGTCTTGTGCCCCATATTCCTTCTGAAGGGGAGGAGTTGGGGAGGGATGTAGTGATCCCAGGGAGTTCCACAGGTTAGATCCAAAAGGCTGGATTAAACCTATGAGCTGAAAGTTCTTCCATCATTGCTTTGGACAAAGATTTATCCCTGCACAGAGATGCATTTGCAAGTGTTGCTAAGTTGCAGTGCGATTTGATATGTATGAGGAAGAGAGGGAGAACATACAGGAATTATAAACAAATGAAATGTTCTTGTGCAGTCTGATGGAGAGGTGGAGAATCTTCTCCTGCTGAGATGCAAATGGAAGCTCTGTCATGAATGGGCATCCTGCTGCAAATATGTCTGTTCCTGGGCAGTTCTGAAACTCAGAACGGATGTTGTTGCTTTGTGCTATTGAGGTACTTCCAACTTATGATGTCCTTGTGGACCTCCAGGAGTTCCTGGCATTACAGCTCGGCTCGAATCTGAAAAACTAAAGGTTGTGGCTTCCTTTATTGAGTCAGTTCTATCTCAGTTCAGTTCAGAACTAGACATGAAAGAATTGGGCAGCATCCACAAGTAATTCACTGCCTTTTTTGTCAAGTGTGCCGCAGAACAGGACTAATATGTAGTATTGCATAGGTCTGTTGTGTACTATGTAACATGTGTCACTCCGTGTGTTCTGATGTGGTTTTGCCTCTCGTCTGCGAAGGCTTGATCGTGTTACCAGAAAACATTTACCTGCATCGTTTTGTTCCCACACTCTTAGCCGCCATCTTTTCTGTTACAGCTAGCTGTCAAAACAGCACAAATTACTGTTTACAGGACCCATTACCATTGCCTTTTGACATGGAAAAAAGTCCTCTTTGGTTATGACAAGAGTTTTTGGAAAAGCTAAAAATATTCAAGATTAATCCAAAACAGTCCCCATGCAACCCCTTTCTGTTTAGAATCCGGCAGTTCTCCTTCCTGTTTGTTAACCTGGAAATTTCCCATTCAGGTGACATCTTAGTTTTTGTTTTTCTAAAACTGCAACTAGCCAGAGATACCTCAGCCTTTCATCCTTCTCCGTATAGTAGACTCTCTTCCAGCACGCATTGTTACCCACAGTTCTGTTTTCCTGAAGATACTGGCAACAGCTTTTTGTCATTTTGTCCATTCCTAGAGAGTCATCTAGCAGATGGTTGACCTGCCTGTTCGAACCACAATTTAAGTGTCCGTTTGTACTCTCCCTTCCCCGTACTGCAGAATGCATGCAACACAATCCCTGGTGGAGTTTTTTTAATGTGCATTGGTGCTAGCTGGCCAGTGCTAGGAAGCTTTCCAGCTACTGACAGTTCTGGGGCCAGGGATCAACATGTAGCATCCACTGGAGCTGGCACTCAGGCAAGATCTGTGACTGTGCCGAGCCAATACCAGGGAAGCTTCCCAGCCACCACAGCACTGGCCGGCTGGAAACATCATTCTTTCTAGGACTAGGAGGCAGCTCCGGCAGCTCCTTCCCCCCCCCCACATGTCAAGAAGGTGAGCTACTGTCAGTAGCATCAGGAACCCTTCTAGTACTGGCCAGCTAGCCAGCCACCAGCTGCTCCACATTCTGCTGTAATGCAACAGATGCATTTAAGCAGACTATGTGGAACAGGTGGTTTCAGGCCTGCTTTGAGATAGCCCACAGTAAAAAGCTTGCTGCAGGTTATCTGAAATGGATAGTTGAAGTTGAGGTCTTGCAATGGACATTGGAACAGTGGTGTCTATTGCCATTCTTGGATTTATTCTGGTCCTGTAAACCCCTTCCTCCCCCCTGATGTACTTTAAAAACAGTCATGTGCTATGGATGTGGCCCTCCGAGATCCAAGGAGGGGACCAACATAAGAAAATAGTCCTTGAATGTTCTCATACCTATTATTAAAAGATCAGGCTGTTTGGGGGTGATTATGTTTTCTCAGAACCCCACATCAGTTTCCATGTTGTTCTCTTTCCCCTAAACATCAAAGCATTGCTGTGCAGCCACCTTCAGCTTCTGACTGGTGTATCCCCCCCATCCACCCATTCTCTGGACAACTCCTTAACCAATCACTTAGTAATTTGTTTTTCATTTTCATTTATCAATACCACTTCCTCTGTAATAAATTATATGCCATCACATTGATTCTGACTTGCATCTACCCCTCATGAAGTTTTCTAGATGTAAATTAGTCAGCCATGGTTTACCAGTTCCAGCTTCTGGTGGCATTCTAGGATCATGTTTCTTCGCCAATGCTACATAGGTGGCAAGTCATCAAAACTCATTGGCCATACACATGCCTCAGGTGGTCTTGGCTGGCCCCTCTCTTGGGCGGCACTGCAGGAATTCAAATTCTGAGACCTTGGCTGCGCAGACAGACACTCCACCCTTGGAGTTGTATCAGCTCTAATGCTTCCTCCACCTTTTCTGGAAAAACTCTGGCCTTGCCTCTGTCACCCCAGTGTGATGCCTGACAAAGGCACTCTGAAACCCAGTGTCAGAATTGTTGTGCTGTTGTGTATTTGGTGAAACCTGCTAGTTTCTGGGCCAGCTATGTTTAACTTTCTTTCTTTCTTTCTTTCTTTCTTTCTTTCTTTCTTTCTTTCTTTCTTTATTTCTTTATTTCTTTATTTATTTATTTATTTATTTATTTATTTATTTATTTATTCACATCAGAGCATTGCAGAATTTTAAATTATAGACTGTAGTGTTTGCCCTGCTCATTAATATTTATGTTGAGATTTGCATCCACCAATACGAGCTGGACGTATGTGAAATATAAATAAATTTCAGACATTTAAAATGTTAAAATGCTTAGACAGTTTTGACCAGAAGTGGGCTACTTCAATAGCATTGTCACAGTCATTTACTAGATCTTCTTTTGTACACTTGGTGGGGCATAAATTGCATGAACATAAATGCTGCATTGATTGAATTTCTCCACATTCACCCAAAATGTGTCATGTATTCAATTAGCCCCATTTTACATGATTATTCTTTGAGCTTCCCACTTTGTTTCAAAACCTGTTGAGTGACTTCCAGATGGTCCAGCCAGAGTACTTTGTTTCAAAACCTGTTGAGCGACTTCCAGATGGTCCAGCCAGAGTCTTCTCCCACATTCATCCATTCCACCATTTTTTTATTTTTTATTTTGCTTTCGATAGATTTATCCTAGCTCCTTCTGGTTTAATATTTAGAAGTTGAGAGGTATGCAGAAAATGTTTCCTTAGTTTTAGCCATTATCTAGGGAGTTGGTGTCTATGAAGTGGATGAATCTGGTGCTGTATTACCTTATTTCATTCATTATCTGCAAGCACCTCTCAAGATACTTCCAAAAAGGCAGTGCCAGCCAAATGACTTTTTCAGTGGGCGTAGGTTTTAGGCAGCCAGTAATGATCCTGCATGATTCATTAAGAGCTACATCCACTTGTTTGGCATTTGCTGATATATACCAAATGGCACTAGCATATTCTGCTTTGGAGGAACACAGGGACAAAGCTATTGTTCATATGGTTTCTGGGTGTGCAACCCAGTCTGTCCCAGCCAGTTTCCTATGTTATTTCTGGTGGCAACTTTCTCTTTGATGTTTAGACAGTGTTTTTTTTGTGGGGGGGGGAGGGAGGGGTCAGAGTTTGATCCAGAGTGACACACAAATACTTTGGGGTAGGGTAGTGTTCCAAAATCTTGTCTTCCCAGCTAACTCAGAGCTTCCTCTCTCCTTCTCAGTTCTTTAAGTGGAAGGCACAGACCCATGTTTTTAAAGGGTTTGGCTCCGACTGGTTGTTTTTATAACATAAAGAAAGATCTTCTAATGCAGAGGTTAGCTGGTGCTCCATAGACTCAAAGGTGTCAAGCATAACTGATGTGAGGCTGTCCTCAGGCAAAACAGAGCCAGGAATGTAGAAGGAAGAGGTTCCCATAGTATCAGCGTAATTCCTCTATCTAGGTCTTCGTGTTCCGGAAGAGCTTATTCCCCATATATGGAAACACATCATCATCCTATGCCCCCCCCTTTTGCCATAAATTCCTGAGCCCATTGTACTCACATTGTGTGTTTGGATACCTGTATGGCTGTTGATTGGTGCTGAGTTCACTCTTTTGATAGGCACTGAAATACCATAGTTTACTATGGGCAGCAACACACACTTTCCAAACACAACATGGAATTGGCGTGTGGAAACATGGCTGCTGTCAGCAGTTAAAGTACTCACAACAGAGCTGAAGTACATAGCGGACCAAGGAATAAAAACATTTACTGAATGAGACAGCTTTGGATGCATTGGGTGGGGGGGAGGTCTTTTGTACTGAATGTTCAAAAATGTGTTCTGTGCGCATGCATTTATTTATTTATTTATTTATTTATTTATTTATTTATTTAATATCCCGATTTATTTATTTATTTATTTATTTATTTATTTAATATCCCGCCTATCTGGTCGGTTAAGACCACTCTAGGCGGCTAACAGCATATGTACTGTACCTTCTGCAAGCCATCAGAAAAGCCCCCCAATTTAGCTTTTGAAGAATCTTAGCTTTCATTTAAATAAAACAAAATTACATTCTAGCCTTTAAAGTTTCAAAGAGATACTTTAAAGTGTGTATGAAATGCTGCTGAAATCAAAGGAGCATGGGCGAGTAAGACTTTCTATTGGTCAGATACTAAAGCTGCCTCTCCCATGGCTACCAGAAGGAGATTAAATTACTGTACATTCACTCTTTTTTTAAAAGCAGGATCAATTATATAGAATAAGAGCTGTGCAGGTTTGCTTAAGATAGAAGTGAGTGTAGGTACAAAATGGTTGTGCAGAGCATGCAGTCCACATAGGATTTAACCATCTACCTAGCTGGGGGCTGAGTTTTCCCTGAGTTTTCTTCCATTTTACTGATTTTTTTAAGTGTTCTAAACACAAACAGGGAGGATAACAGCAGCCATATGGCATGCATGTTTTGTCCTTGCCTGGAACATTTCCCAGCTTTGAGTGTTTTTTTTTAAATACTTTTTGCCCTCCCCAGGTTGTTCTTCCAAACATAAACAAGGCTTCCATGCAAGTTGTTCTGGATTATCTGTATACCAAGCAGCTATCCTCCAGTCAGGAGTTGGACACACTTGAATTAATTGCACTGGCAAACAGATTTTGCCTCCCGCACTTGGTTGCACTCGCAGGTAAGATTTCTTGGCAATTCACAGGTGTTGCTGTCAACGGTCTGCCAGTAATGCTGAAATGATCAGTTTGTTTTGTTGTCATCTTTAGGTAAAACAGTCATACAGTTTCGCTTTCCAAAGCCAAATTGCAACACACATTCACAGTGTTCTCATTGCTGAATGAATATAGCCCACTGGAAAGTTCTTGCATGCTTCAAAGACAGAAAGCACATAATAGTATGCAATTCACAAGGCCCATCAGGCGACCTGATTACTCTTAATTGAAAGAGTGTGAACATTAAAGTTTCCATTGTAAATTGTTGTTTTCAGAGCTTAATAATTGATCTTAAGCAATTTAAAATCAATCCAGTTCAAACACATCTTGCATAAAAGAGCAGTCCAAATGACTTCTATTACCGTAGTGTGACTTGGTTAATTATTGTGTTGTGTAATACGATGGTAGTTAATTCCAAGAGCCACCAGTGTTTCCACATTGTTTCAAAGAGAAGTGGCTGGAAGCAAGATTATTTCGTGGGCTGAGAAATAAATCCACATGAACCCAAATGTATGCTAATATTGTTAATTGTTTTTCTCCATTTTCTGGGACAGTCTTTTAGTGAGGCCAGGCACAGTGGAAATAAGAAACTGGTGTGAACTGTCGTTATTTTTTAAAAATGAACTGGTTTGTGTTTTTCTTCAACTGCAACAGAGCAGCACGCTGTACAAGAGCTGACCAAAACAGCAGTGAGTGGTGTTAGCACAGATGGCGAGGTCCTGTATTACTTGGAAATAGCCCAGGTTAGTGCCCTTTCAGTGCAGGTGCTACAAATTCTTTGTGACTGAATAGTGGATGGAGAGAGGCTTCTTACGTTGTTTGCATGAATGGACAGTTATCAGTTCCCAGAGACGAAAAGAATATTTCAGCACTGAGGTTTTTTTAAAAAAATACTGTGCTTATTGACAGTTGTAAGTGCCTTCAATATTTATTAGATTTGCTATTTCGCTATTTCTTTAAAAAAAAGAACTTTGCTGTGGAACACCCCCCCCCCATAGTACCTTGACAAAACAATGCTGAAATAAGTGCAGGCATTTATTTTATTTAAAATATATTTATCCCGTCTTTCTCCTTAAAAGGACCCAAGACAGCCTACAGTGGACCCTCTACTTACGGAATTAATCCGTATTGGAACGGTGGCTGCAGGTTGAAAAGTCTGTAGGTTGAGTCTCCATTGACCTACAATGCATTGAAAACCGATTAATCCTGTAACTGGCTGTTTTTGTTCCATTTTGGTTTTTTTCTGATCTGTAGGTCGATTCTCTGGCTGCAAGTTGAACCTAAATTTTGCAGCAAGAGAAGTCTGTAACTCGAAAAGTCTGTAAGTCGAGCCGTCTGTAAGTCGAGGGTCCACTGTACATCATTAAAAACAGTTACTTAAAAGCTAAAAACTATAAGTATACATATATTGAAAAAGACTTAAATAAATATGATATTAAAATGGTAAATAACATCAATATTAAAGCACATGTAAAAACAACAGCACAACAATCCATTAAAAAACCCCTCTAAACCACCAGTTATTAAAGGAAAACTTGCCTAAACAGAAAGGCCCTCCCCTGCTTACGGAAGGACAGCAATGATGGGGCCAGTTTAGCTTCCCGTGGGAGGAAGTTCCAGAGTTTGGGAGCAACAGCAGAGAAGGCCCTCTCCTGTCTCCCCACCAAGCACATCTGTGAAGATGGCGGGACCGAAAGGCCTCCCCTGAATAAGTATACATATATTGAAAAAGACTTAAATAAATATGATATTAAAATGGTAAATAACATCAATATTAAAGCACATGTAAAAACAACAGCACAACAATCCATTTAAAAAACCCCTCAAACCACCAGTTATTAAAGGAAAACTTGCCTAAACAGAAAGGCCCTCCCCTGCTTACGGAAGGACAGCAATGATGGGGCCAGTTTAGCTTCCCGTGGGAGGAAGTTCCAGAGTTTGGGAGCAACAGCAGAGAAGGCCCTCTCCTGTCTCCCCACCAAGCACATCTGTGAAGATGGCGGGACCGAAAGGCCTCCCCTGATGATTTTAATGCCCGGGAAGGCTCATAGAGGGAGATAAGGTCCTTGAGATAGCTTGGACCCAAGCCATTTAGGGCTTTATAGGTTAAAACCAGCACTTTGAATTGTGCCTAGAAATGGCAGCAAGTGGAGCTGCTGTAACAAGGGAGTTATATATACCTCTGGTGTGATATAGTAGAGACTAGTTGAGGAAGCCTCTTTTAAGTGTTCCCATTGTCCCTTCGAAATGCACAAATATCTGCATTTGTATCCAGCTGTCTTATTCTTTGTCTTAGAGACTGTCAGTAAAAGAGAATTGGCAAATAATGGCCAAAGCCAGTCAATTCTCACATGGCACTTTCCAGATGTGAGGGACTGCAGTTCCCATCATCCCAGGCACCATTAGTTCCAAGTGCGAGAAGACCAACTTGCAGCATTTGAAATATTAAGCCTTTTCTCTCTTGTTTACTAAGTCTGCCCTACAAATATTTGTTTACTAATCATGTCCCACCTAGATGACTGATCCCATGTCACCCAGAGAGATTTCATGGTTCCTCAGGGATTGAATACGCACTTCTCAACCTCTGCTGTACATCATTCTTGTCCCTCCAGCACCTTTATTAGTGATACGAGGCAACTAGAGAAACCTGCCTGTCTTGTAACAAAAAAAGCTAGAACCCATCATTGCTGCCATTGCATTCTGAGTACTAATAGTTCTATAGCCCTAATTTGGATCAACATAGCCAAAGGTTCCCCAGTGTTATGCTTTGAACAGAGCAGAAGGGGTGGCTTCTCCAACCCCATCCATCCAATTTGTCCACCAGCCATGACTACCCTTGGCTTTCATTTTGTACTGTAGATTAAGTTTGATTGCTGATTCCAAGTTGAGTAAGCCCATTGAATGAATAGAAGTCATTTGATCAACACTGATGTAGGTCCCATTGAGTGGAGTGAGTCTACTCTAGTTGGCACTAAATTGAATTTTGTCCTGTGTTTGTGATATTGTCAGTTCTTTTATGTGCAACTCAGTTGGTTCAATAACTGAGTAATTCTCTCTTGCCTTAACATCAAGATTATTCTGCACACCACCTGTTAACTGCACAGAATATCAATTGAGCTCTGTTCTTTTCCAGTTCCACAATGCTAACCAGCTGGCAGCTTGGTGCTTGCACTATATCTGCACCAACTACAACAGTGTTTGTTCCAAGTTCCGAAAGGAAATCAAAACTAAATCTCCTGGTAAGCCCCCCCACCCTCCTGGCAAACTCTGTATCCCTTCTCCTAACCTTTATACATTTGATGTATTCGCGAAGGCTTTCACGGCCGGGATCTAATGGTTGTTGTGGGTTTTTCGAGCTTCTTGGCCGTGTTCTGAGGGTGGTTTTTCCTAACGTTTCGCCAGTCTTTGTGGCCGGCATCTTCAGAGGAAAAACCACCTTCAGAACACGGCCAAGAAGCCCGAAAAACCCACAACAACCATTTCTACATTTGCTTTCTCTTTTGTTCTTCCAGCTTGTGCTTGAGAGAGGAGAGCACAATTATATGTATTTTCGCTTTATTTAATTATTGTTTATCTCCAAATATGAAGTTTTTCAAAAGATTTGAATGTTTCATTAAAGGATAATGTAGTAGTAGAGACCAGTAGGAAGAGGAGAGAATTAAATCCAGGTCAGACCTTGGAAAGTTATTTCTCTGAACTAGGATACTATGAGATTTTGGAAGCTTTAGTCCACAAAAGTAATTTTTCTCAACTGTTCCTGCCCCTTCTGTCTGGATGTGTGCCCATTATGTGGTCCACCTTATATGGTATCCTGCTTCTATAGCTGGCGGGAGAGGAACAAGTGAGCCGCCAAGCCAGGGGGCAACACACATGAGAAGATGCAACTGCTTCGTCTTCTTTTGCACCAGGAGATGTAAGGGTATATGTCTAGAGTAGAAACAATCAAAGCTGCCAGGCTTCATTTCAGTCACGGTCTCAACTTTCCATTGCTGAGCACGTTCTTTCCCAATTGTGCATTAGGCTGCATTTTTATTTTTAGTCCACTTGAAAACTTGAGCATTTTTTTTTGCACATTTGCCAAAATATACTTTTTGTATGCATATTTCAAACGCATGTTGCAATTGATTGCTGGGGAGAAAGAGAGGCTTTAGTGTTGCTCCCATGCCACTTAAATTGCATCGTATCATTTTGTGTGTGAAGATAAATGTTCTTCAGTATTGCTAGGAGGAAAGAGAAGCTTTAACTATGCCCTCCTGCCAATAGTTTTGCTGGTGAAAGATGGCTTTCCCACCACCACTCAAGATCCTGCTGGGCTTTATAGTGTGTGAGAAGAGTCATCCTTAAACACCACTGATTCCCCATAGATCTTGGTTCCCACCAGATAGTTTTTTGATGCACTGGAAGGAGCCTTCATTTCTGGGAAACTGTGTGCGAATAGGTTTCCTCGCAACAGCTGAGTTGTAGAAGCTGTTTGGTAATATCTTTGTGGCGGGGACAGCAAAGATCCTTGGAGGTTATTTTGCAGCCTGAAATCAACATGTTGAGTTACATAGCGGCAGAATGATCAGGAGTATTGTCTTGTTGTTCACCACCTGCATTTTGATTCTGTAAAATGTGCTTGATGTCAAACTAAATCTACTACTATCTTAGGGTATTTATATTATTCTCCCACCTCTTGTGGATTCCTAATCACTTTAAGTATGAATTATCTGTTTCCAGTTTATTGCAGATTAGGAAGGTGCAGGCCGAACATCACATTTACCCCCTTAAACAAACAAACAATAACAAAAAATGTTTTCTGTATTACCAAAGGTGAATTTGCCACAGGATAATTTATTCTTCCCTTTTCTTTGCCTTTCCCTCCTTCCTGTCTTTCATATTTTTAATTGTCTCTGTGTCCACTCTGAAAGAATCAGAAAAATGCCTCCTCAAACTTCCTGAGATTGGCCACCTCTGATTTACTGTATTCTAGCATGTTGTGGTTTTCCTATGTAGTTGATAAAAGCTTGTTTCTGGGTTTCTCCTGAAGCACAAATATCCACAGCTGGAGAGAACAGGGTGAAGTCCTCCATCATAGATTCGAGATTTCATTTCATGATTTTCTATTCATTCTGTACAAGTTTTGAAATTCTACGTTCCGTGAAATTTGCTGACCTGTGGAAAGAGCATGGCTTTTCTCAAGTGTTCGGGTTCTAGGAAGGGAGATGAGCTTCTAACTGCTCCTAGTTCTAGAAATCACAGCTGTGTTTTTCCCCCCTGAAATGCAGACAATCAGGAATATTTTGAGAGACACCGGTGGCCTCCTGTATGGTACCTTAAGGAAGAAGATCATTTCCAACGTGTAAAAAAGGAGAGAGAAAAGGAAGACATTGCGCTGAATAAACATAACTCAAAACGGAAGTGGTGCTTCTGGAATTCCTCCACTGTAGTTGTTTGAGGAAAGAAGAGACACATCTATCAAAAGTGTGGCTTGAACTGGAAAACTTTGCTTTGAAAGAATTCTTGTTAGAACCCGCACTGGGTTCATTGAGAGCTGTTCTTGTGTCACTGGGGAAAAAATGGGGATTGGGTGAATGCTGCTTTTTAAAATCTCTCCCATTTATTTCAGTGGTGCTTACAAAGGGGGTTATCTAGAAGATAGTTTGAGGCAATGGATTTTATTCCACCTGTGTGCATTTATCATTTGTAGACTCAACAAGCACAAGCTCACCAGGAGTGCAAAAAAAAAAAAAAATCACAAGCAGCTCCTTAAATAATGTCTACAATACTGTATAAACTAGTATCACACACACACACTCTTTCTCTCTAATAACAAACCCAGCATTAAAGGTTTACTCTCCTAAATGGAAAGTATTTTTATACTGTTGTTGTGAAGGTCTTTAAAACTGTATTTCTAGGTTGTTTTCTTTCACAGACCCACAAAATCATCATGCAAGTGAGTCTAAATTAGATTTTCCCCATTTGCAAGTACAGTGGAAATGAACCACATATCTAATGAGCCTCCCTGCTAGAAATATTCAGCTTAGCAACAAACTAACTTTTGCTAGGCAACTGACTTCATTCTCCCATCTGTTTCTCCCAGGTACTACTATTCATAATGGTTAGATGCTTATTTTTAAAGTAGTGGGATAGAAGAGTATCGAACAACAACAGAGATATTCAGAATGTAAACCTTTTATTAGCAGAGGAGTATAAAGTGTAATTTAACTTTGAGTTGCATGCTGGAATATGTTTTTTTCCAGTATTTATGATTTAAAGACTGAAGACAATAATCCTGTGAAATATCCCTTTTTGTGCATCCCCAGGCTGAAAATGTCTGTTTTCATGAAAATCTTCTTTAAATAACCAGAAAAATGTAAACATATGTTTTCCTCCACTGCGGATTCCATAATGACTTAAATCCCAAGGCAGCAATGTTTTGTTATAATTATTTGGATTTTTAAAATGTACAGTTGCCCATGCTTTTTTTTTTGCAAGAAACATCTGCCTAGGAGGAAATATCTGTATCATTGTGAACATTCACCTGTTAAGGGCTGCTCATATAAGTTGGTCTCTTACATTTTCTTCATTATTCTAACAAAGAGCGGCAATTTTCCTGCATTGCACCAACGCTAGCGAGGCCTATATCTTAGCATTGGAACAGGCATATGAGCAGTTAGTGGTAGGCATGACCACTGGGTGTTGTCTGAGGTGCATAAATGCCCTTACCACACATATCCATCCATTTGTATGTAGAGTGAACATGTCAGCAGTCCATATGGCAGGTACTAACTCAGAATGCGCTAACTAACAGAGCAAATTGCACATGAAATGTCTATACACCAAGAGCCACAGGTGCTGTGGTATCTGTCCAGCTCTTTATGCTATCCAGATAAGGTACCCAAGTGTGTGCTGCCTTTTGACCAAGTTGTAAAAGTATTGTCAGGAAGAGCCCAAATCTTTTGTCAGTGCATTTTTTGTGCAAAAAATGTACTGCCCACTATCTGCTCCAGTTACAGTTCTTAATATGTGAGCAGCTTCCTTACTTAGACAGCCAATCTAGTATAGTAGGTAGTGTGCTGGACTTAAGACTTGTGAGATCTGGGTTCATTTCCCTGGTCAGCCTGAAGCCTACCTTGGGCCAGACGCTCTTTCCCTTCTAAGCTACCACAAAGACTTGCTGTGAGAGGATGAAATGAGATATGCCTCCCCATCTGTGTACTCTGAGCTGTTTAGCAGAAGGGTAGCATAGACTTGAAATTAAAACGGAGCTGCAAAGGGAGGGCCACAGTCTAATGCTTTTGCTATTTACATGTCATCAAGCTATTACCTTCCAGGCACCTGGAGAGAGGGCATCTTCATTTTTGTCTCTTTTTATTGTTCCTTCCTTATGTTGTGCTCAGTAGTAGTCATCCACATCTCTCTTTTTGACCTTAGCCCCACTGTTGTGGGCTAGAATTCCATAGTCAATGGGATAACTGTATTCCTTTTTAAAAAAAAACGGGGAAGAGCTGGTGTATGTCTTTTGCTTACCCAGCCATCAACTAGTTCTGTATGATGAATTTTCACCTCCATGATGTTAACATCTATAGACAAACATGCAACACGGTTGTGCTGCAAGCTTTCTAAGCCCACCATGTATAGGGAGAAAAGAAGGGGAAACTACCCATGTAATTAATCCTTATGCAGAGACTAGTACTACCATGGGAAATGGTGGGCAGAAAATAGCAGCATCTTGACTTGTCCTGAATTTTGCAAAAGAAAGTTAATGAGGTTGTACAGCAGGGTAGGTCATGCTTAGACCCCCTACTTTGGGGATTGGCAAAGTGTAGCCCGCCAGGTATTGTAGGACTGGAACTCGCCTTAGCCTTAGCCTTCATAGGCTACAGCAATTAGGGTTGGGAGCTGCATCCCAGCAACATGTGAAGGGCTGCACTTTCCCCACCTGTGACCTTCCTGTGCTAGAACTGTGGGCGTCAGAATAGCTGACCCAGCCTGCTGTGCACAGTTGTCTTACCATGTCGCAGCTGCAATTGCAATATGTGGGTTTTGCTTATTCTCGTTCCTATGGTCTCAGATGCAGAACTAAGACCATTTCCATCACCAAAAAAAGTAATATCACTGTATTGTGATAAAGGGCTATCAAGGGACAACTGGTTGCAAATACATATGTAGATTGATTAGTGGTCAGCCATCACAAGAGAAAAGTCAGACTAAGCAAAACAACTGCTTTTGAGGCTTGCAATTTCTGCAAAAGGGGGAGGGGTGTGATTTTATCAGTCCAAGAGCTTTGTTTTTAAAGCAGAAGGGTTACCTTAGGTGTTGGAAGACCCCTTCATACCTATGGCACGCTTCCTGCAGCTTCTCTTCTGATGTCATAATTCTTGGTGTGAGGTCATGTAGGAGAGAGCCCAGCTCAATGAAGTAGTTCTACAGGGAAAGAGGCCAAGGAGGGAAAGCGGCGGGCATGGGGGAGTTCGTGTACCCATGATTCCTTCTCTGTAAATAGGCAAATCAGATGGGCTTGCACCATTATTTGCAGACTGAGCCTCAGTTGTAAAATACTGGCAGATTGTGTGTTTTGTTAAGTATTACTAGGTTTTACAAAACCAAAGCTATTCTACGATTGTAATCTTGCCAAACTGACTTGGACATGCATCAATGGACCAGGGGTATATGCAATAATAACCAGCTGTATTAGTTTTCAGCTACTACAACCAAGTGGCTGGTTCATTTGGTTTGACTCTGCCTAAGGCCTTTAATCTTGGTGGGGGTGGGTGGGTTTTCATTTTTGTTTTGTAAGAAAACAAAACAAGAAATACCTTAATAAATTGTTTAGCTATAAAATGTTTTCTGACTGGTGCTTTAGTTTCTGGTCATTATAGCTGATGTTTCCAAACATCTCTCTCTCTCTTATGAAGTCAAAAAAATTGTGTATTGACAGTGACACACAGTTCTTTTCTTCCACACCAGTAAAAATACCTTTACAGAGAACTCCAAAAGCTCGGGTGAAGTTACAGAATGGTCACCTAAGTTTGTTTATGACCCTACACCTTTAACTATTACACTTATGTGGTTTCCAAGGAGAGGAGGGGAGTGGGGGTGATCCTCCCATCTCAATGAGAACATGAGACAAGCTGCCGCAGGCCTCCATTCACGCAGGGGCATGAAGATTGGGCCAGTAGTAAGCTCCATATCTGATACAATTAACCAATGTAGCCAGTCAGAAATTGTCTAGAAGGATTATTCCATCTTCCAAACAAAATTTAACCTGAGAGCCAAGAGAGTAGTTGGTGTTTGGAACAAAAGGAAGGAAGGTGGGCTGGGGAAAAACAACTTTCCCACCAGGTCTCCACATTAGGCACTCTAGATGGTGTTTATCAAAATACAGAGCTATTTATAGAAGACAAATCCTGACAATGTTGTTCTTTTATACCTATCATAACAATGGTCCCAGAAGATGCCCTGTTTTTACCCATGCATCTCACTTCTGGTAAAGAGGGGCAGGATCCTCCTAGCTGGCTTTGTGAATGGCATGTACCTATATATGGTCTATTCTGTATTGAGAAGCCTGATCTAGGGTATTGTCCTTGCATTTGGCTGAAGGCATGAGAGCTGGGCCTGGAGACCACAGAAGCAATCTTTCTCTCTCCGTGGCTTGTATCAGAACTGCATTGTAAAGTGAAGGAGAAAATGCTTTTTGGTTGAAGAACAGAGTAGGTAATTCTTTTCCATGTAATAATTCATTACAAGACTTTCTGGACTCTGCTTCCCAGACAGGGTGTATTTGGTGTTTGTAGCCTGGGACTGTTTATGGATGTGTGTACACAAATGGAGCAAACAATGTAAGAGGCATTGTCTACCTTGGAAAGGAGATAGATTGCACTGTTCTTACCAGTGGACAGGTTTGTTACAGTTTTATGGTGAGCTATAAACTCGCCTGTAAAGTGTTTTGTAGTAAGTTTTTAATGACATCCTTCAGATGGGAAGCAGAAGTTTTCACTTTAAAGCAGAGGCCATAGAGCAGCAGTTTTCTTTTTTTAACAACTAGGCTTCTAAACAGTCAAAAATTAATCTTCTCTACATTGCACTCACAAAGGCAGGTGCCAGAAGATATGAGTAAAACTGCCCTGATATATATATAAAGAAACCTATTAACCAACCAAAGGATGGAGGTAGGAGAGGAGACATTTTCAGTGTCAAACACAGAGGTAATTTATATGGTTGTTACATATATAATTGCAATAAACAGCAAACTGTTGCTTTCTGTTAGTGAACTGTAACACAGACATCCTATCCATCAGAAAAAAAATAGTGTGCAAACAGAATATGAATGTGATTGTGCCAAATTTATTTATAACATACTCCCATGTATTTGGGGTCAAAATTCACTCCAAAGAGAGAGGCGTCCATCAGTCTGTCTATACACACTTTGTTTAATCAATATTTTCTAGATCATAAATGAAAAAAACAAGGATATAACTTCCCAATGATCCAGGACCAGCTAACATGCCCCTATTGTTTCCATATTTTCCAGGTTCATACTGGGCTATTTAGTCACTTGTGTGTCCATCAACAGACTAGTGCTCAACGGCTTGCCTCTTTCCCCCCCTCCCCACTCCCATGATGAACCTGATTAAATCGTCTTCAGAAATAGAAGATAAACAATATATATACATAGGATGCTTTCCAGAGAGGATCTGCAGTGACTGCTGTTGCCATTCCTGCTTTTACAAACATTCTGTAATCTCTCCCACTAATATTTCAAAGGATAACTGAACTATCATATGAAGCCGCTCCCTTATACAGTCATGGCCGAAAATATTGGCATCCTTGCAATTCTGTCAGAAAATGCAACCCTTCTCTCAGAAAATTGTTGCAGTTGCAAATGTTTTGGTACTCACATGTTCATTTCTTTGGTTTGCGTTGGAACAACACAAAAAACAGAAGAAAAGTCAAATCTGATACAATCAACTGCAACAATTTTCTGAGAGAAAAGTTGCACTTTCTGACAGAATTGCAAGGGTGCCAATATTTTTGGTCATTGCAGTACTGTATTATTATTAAATATTTTTCCCTGTGTTTACTGGTACGTTTTCTCTGGATCTGTTCAGCAATGCCGCAGTACTGTATTATTATTATTAACTATTTTTCCCTGTGTTTTCTGGAACGTTTTCTCTGGATCTGTTCAGCAATGCCATGTAGTGGATGGATAAAGTACAACAGCAGGCAATCACAATGGCCAGTTTCTGTCCATCAGTTAAGCAACACTCAAGTCTTAAGGATAGTCAACTAAGTACAAGGTCATAGTGGGCACCTCTCTCTCAGGCAGGAGACAGCAGCAGCCTGAAGTCACAATTGCCATCTTCTCTCCTGAAGGCGCACAAATCAGCATGAAGTCACAAATAAACAGGTTCAGCCTTCCATTATCAGCATGTCATCAGTCAATCTAACTTCATTACTTAAGCAGCATCAGCATGAGGTCACAATGGTCAATCTCTCCTCTTCAGGAATGTAGCATCAGGACGAGGTCACAATAGCCAGCCTCTTTCAGGCAGGCAGCATATGGAAGCACATTCATCACTCTGTAACTGAACAGCCAGTAACATTCCTGTGTGAAAACTATGGCCACCAATGTGTCTCTCAACGTAGAGGACTGCAGATTGAGGGCAGAAAGGAAGAGAACGCCATGCAAGAAGATTACAACAATTGCAGGAAGGAAAAACAGGTTGTTTACCTGGAAAGTTTGTTCTTCAAGTGGTTATTTTGCAGTCACCATGCAGAACCTTCCAGGTAGAGCCTACTTTATTGGTAGCTCCACCTTGTCTATCTACAGTGTATGTGTCGGCATTCCATCCTTTGGTTCAACAATCTGAACGAAATAGTACTAGAGTATTACGTAACTGCAACTGCCGAAGAGGAAAGGACGGAAGAGCCATGTAAATACATACACAGTAGATGGCCACTCAAATAACAAATGTTACAGGTAAGCAGACTGTTATTTTTTGTCATGGTGTCTGTGAATCACATGCATGGATAAAGACTAGCACTCATCAATGTCTCAGAAGACTAGATTTGGGCAAAGAACTTCATTTAATGCAGTACTGATAAGCAACTAATCATTATGTACCTTGTTCCATGGCCACTGTGATGATTGCCATGCTATTGGTGAAAGTATTATTGATGCTGTTGAAAAGACCAAAGAGCAGGACACAGGATTGATTAATAAATGGCATTGCTGAGGGCAACAATGGAGATTATTTGGATTGATGGCTCTATAGAAATAAGCATCTTTCAAATAAATTGTGGCAAATCAGCCTCCTCCTGAAGCAGCAGCAGCAGATTGGATACAGTCTGCATTCAAGGTGCTTTGTAGTTTTGCATTCAAAGATGCCTGAAAATGGCCAAAGACCTCTATCTCATTCAGTACTGTTATGTACTAGCAGGTTCTTGTTCTTTGGGGGGGGGGGGGATTGGTTCAATGGCTCCT